GTTTTCTCAGAAAAGGCAGCAGGGAGAAAGCAAGCTAAATAGATAATCAGATCTTGTACATTTCTCTTCCCATTTATAGAGTAAATCTCTATTCCCTAATTTATATTGGAACCAAGCCACATCAATTTCTTTTTTTCTTTAATTGTGTACTCCAATGACTTTCTTCTGTTATTTTAAAAATCAAAAAAAAAAAAGAGAGAGAGAGAGAATTATGATATTAAAGATCTTAGGGTACCTTATGAGTCTCCACCAAGATGGGACTTTTTATTCTGACCCATGTTGTATCTTTGATGTACTTTATGAGCCAATTCACTCAAAGTATTGGCAGTATGAGCATCCTCATTCCTGATACATCTATTCCTGCTTCCAGGCATTCCTGGAGCCCCCAAAAGCCCAGTCCCAAATTTGAACTCTTCAAGCAAAAGCAAAATAGAAGTCTTAGTCCCTTATTAAAAGAATATTCGTGAGGTTTCAAGTAATCTAGGTGCAACTGAAAACTTACACTTTTTAAAATAGGACACAAAGACTTTATATAGAGTATTTTAGGAGGATTTGGAGATACTAAAGACAGAGTTAGACAAACTTCAATAAAAGAAAATCTATTTATAGTTGATGTCTTACTCTAAGTAACAAATAAGATCACCTAAATCTTATAGCAGTTTAGATTTAAAAGTGATACCTTTGATTTCAAATGTGGAGCAGGCAGCCAGCGTGAGAAGGCCGAGAATTCAAGATAGGAAGGTGCCAAGCAACACTCTGTTTAGGTCTTGAGGATTTTGTCTTTGCTTCAACCTACTTTTTTTTTCTTAATTTTCTTTGGAAGTAAAATTTTTAGACCAAGGCGGCTGCCTCTTTTATGCCCACCCTAGAAACACCTCTTGTAAAGATTTATCCTAAGCCTGGAAAGTTACCCCCTGGACTTTCTATGAAAAGACTTATTGGGCTAAGTCTCTATTAGAATAAATACATTCATTCTAATAAAATTTGATAAAAAATAAAATATATCAAATGTATGTTCAATCAAAAAGAATCTTTGCTGTTACTCAGATTTTTTAATGTTTATCTAAATTTCACCTAGTAATCATCTCATACTCTTGTCACAGAGTAGTGACATTTAAATACAAGTTCCTCATTTAGATCCAGGAAAGTACAATAGTCATTTTGGTGTCCATTGTCTAAAATAATTACTAAAGGGGATTTTTATTCAACTTTCTTTTAAGAAGTGGCCCCATATTCTCTTTTTCCAAATAACTGCTCCCACTGAGACATGCCACTAAATTCCACAGAAACAATTCTTCAATAAGTTCTTGCTTTTGTAAGATGCCACTCCCCAATCCATGGCTTCCCTGGAGTAACTGAAGCACTGTTATGAAAAGAGCAACCCATCTGGCTTGAGGAATATCAGCTCTGTGTTGGCATTCTGGTGCATGCCGGCATCAATTAGCAGGAAGTGCCAAGGTTTGGTTTGTTTACAAATGGTTAAATATTGAGGAATGTTGATATTCATTAGTCCCTGTGCATGCTTCACCATTCCTCACAATCCCTTGCCGTTTAGTACCCTTCTGTTACCATAGCAGTGCACATTCCAATTCAACAACACTCTATCAGTTTGGGTCATTTTTGGAATTTGTTCCACATAATCAAATGAAGTGTAGGAACAAGTCTAACTGGGCTTCAGGAACATGTGGAGTGCAGGCAGGGCATTGGCTGTCCACCCTGCTTCCAGTGGCTCCACAGATGTTTCTCCTATTGAGACTGGCTCTGTTCAGAGAGCAAAGCCTCCGCTGTTGACTACTCCAGACTTCCACTTATGGCATGGACATCAGTGGGATACCAATTATCTTCAGAACTCCCATGAAAGGGTTCTGATTGGTCCAGTTTGGGTCTTGTGCTCATCTTCAGATTATTTACCAATATCAATAAATGTATGCCTTTACTTAGTTTTCTACAAGGAACTTGTCACTGGTGTAACCATTAACAATTTCAATAAAAAATATGGCCAATCCAATTAGTTGTCACCTGAGATAAAATAGTTGGTCTCCCAAAGAGGTCCCACAGCAATACTTGGAGTTGTTGACCAACGTGGGGCTCAATTTTCAGTCTTAAAAGGTCAGAGAAGATTGTCTACACAAAGGGAGGATCTGAATCTCAGCTGGTTTCCAAGTCCTTAGAGTCATATGCATAAAAATCACTCATGGGAAGATATAACCTCCAAGTAGATAGCTTCATTTATTTAATGATCAGAACTTTTTTCTTCCTACAGGCATTTCCAAATGTGAAACCAAATGTAATCCAAAAAGTACTTAATGACCATACAGTCAGAGAAGGAATTAATTAGATGATCTTAATGGCTGGCACCCAGCAGCTAATGCATATTCTCTGTAGAGACCATGCCAGTTCTATCATTTTAGATTCCTCCCTTTCATAGATGCAATCTCCCCTCTGAAAGGATTATTTCTTCAAATATATCAAACTACTTTGACTCACATATCTAATTATTTATTTATAATCACTATTTGGTCATACCTCTCAGAATTTTTCTTGAATGCCCTGGATTGAATTTGGGGTATTCAAATAATATTGTTTCTACAACTCTTACTTCAATTTCTACTCTTCCTAAATTCATTCTTGGAGGTAGGGCTTTAGTTTTCAAGCCATCAGTACTATGTAGAATATTCAGGAAACACACATAAAAGCTATTTTAAAAATCAAAACAATTTTCTTATAGACTAAATTGTTATTAAACTAAAATATTCAGGAAATATACAGTAAGGTTATTTTTAAACAAAAATATTTTTCTTGAGAACCAAATTTAAAACTTCTTTCTAATAAGCATATAAAGGGATATCTTTTTTTTCATGACATCTACAATAGTACCATCCCAGTTTTCAAACTAGTGAGCAATTCAATAATATTTAACATCCTCCAACCCAGTGCTGGAGATCAAATCCAGGGCCTTGAACGGACTAGGTAGATAGGCAAGTGCTTGACCACTGAATTATACTCCCAGCACAAATCACTAGTATTAATAGGGACCAGCTATCTAAATTCACAATAAAGACGAATTTGGAAACCTTATTGCTATTGTTACTAGGAGTTTTAATCCTAAAACCAAAGAAATATGAAAAAGAGAAATACTATCTCCATAAAAGGAATATCCTCTTATAAAAAAATGTTCAAAGTTGAAAGAATACAATAAAAATATTACAAAAAGACTTAAATGAACCATAAGTGGCCATCAGGAATCAGGGTTCTCCAAAAATGATGAGAAAATTCAGATTTTAGAAGTTGATCTCGCCAAGCCACCAAAGCCAGAAATAATTTTTTCACAACATAGTAAATTTGCATGTGTGTTAATGGAAAGTTTAAGTTTACTATTAATAAATGGGCAAGATCACAGACTAGTTTTTTGGTTTTCCTTTTTAGTGGTGGTGGTACTGGTAATTGAATCCAGGGGCACTCTACCACTAAGCTACATCTCTAGCCCTTTTTACTTTTTTTTTTTTTTTTTTTTTTTTGAGACAGGGTCTGAGTTGCCTAGGCTGATTTCAAACTTGTGATCCTCCTGTCTCAGCCTTCCCCTACAATAGATGGGATTACAGGTGGGTGCCTCTGTGCTGAACCAGAACAATTCAAATAGATATAAAATATACTGTAGTAAATGTTCATTTACTGAGCAGATAATGTGTGCCCAACACATACGAGGGACTTTGTTTCTATTCTCATTTACAGCATGACCAGAGATCATATAACAAATGGTCTCACCCTTTTCCTTTAACCTTGTTCTTTCCCCAACATGGAAATCTTCTCTTTTTTCTATTTGCCCAAATTTCACTCATTCTTGTCCCATCATTCTGGATATGGAATATCTATAAAATTTTTATGTGATTATATATAATATATAGTAACATAATTATAATAATTTTAACAATAATAAAATTATATTATAACAATTTTTAAATTAACGATAATACATATATAAACTCTAGATTATTATTTCCAGGCTATTTTAATGTACCTGTTTCAAGTTTGTTGAAACATTTGCAGAACTTAACACTTGGGACTTTCTGGGTTAACATTCATTTCATCTAGTGGGCATACTATCAACACTGTCATTTATATGACTTGACCTAGCTCTTTTAAAACTGAATTAGGCAAATCTCCACTTTTCAGAGAGGCAAATTTTTACCTAGTAAAGGCAGAAGTTCTCACATACTTTCTGACTCATCACTCTCACAACCACACCTTTGCTGCCTCCTTTGAGCCCAGCAGTTGGCAAACTTGAAAGGGCCAGGTGGTCAATATTCTTAGCTTTGCAAGCCATGCAGTCCCTGCCTGAACCTGACATTGAAGCAAAGGCAGCTATAGGTAATAAGCAAATCCAGTGGGCGTGGCTGTCTCAGTAAAACTTTGTTTATAAAAATAGGTAGATTTGACTAGGCCTGTGGGCCATTATTTGTCCAGTTCATTGTTCCTCAAATAAAAATCTATCAGAAACTGTTAAAGATGGAAAGTCCCAGGTCCTTCTCAAGGAAAGAGCCTGGTCCTGTGTCTTTAAACATGTCTTCTAGGAAATTCTGGTGCAAGCTCAAATTTGAGTAACACTACAACTTTCTCATTACCCACAGAGAACCTTCTTAAAATATTAACAACTAAAGTGGTTAATATGTCTGACCTCAAAAAGAAGTCCTCCCTCCCCCTCCCTCTTTATGATCCCCCTCCTACCCCAATATGCTGGGATTACAAAACCAAATCCTAGTCTATTTTGGTTGGGACTGCTATCAGGCAGCTGCAGACCCATCTTCCTTTTTCTCAACAGCTGGGACTCAGTCACTATCTTGAATTCTGCAGCTCTTAAGGTAACACAAGCTCACACCGCTTAACACATTCACCATTTCACAAGCACCCTCCTCTAGGGCTCTTCCAGAATGACAGGGAGTGAGGAGGTTTACAGTCTCTGTCACAGGTCTTAGAATCACCTCTCTCCCTCCCCACCTTACCATCCCTTCCAGTTGCCTCTCCTCTTCTCCCATACCAGTGTGTAAGGCTCTGCCCAATCTCTGTGAAAGTGGAGCTGGCGAAATAGAAAAACACACGACAGAAATAGAAAAACAGTTATGACCACGTAGTTTGCCTCATAGAGGCAAATGACACACCTTTTTTCTCCCCCTTTGAGCTCTGCCTGTGCTATCATTGAAAAGATTCTACCAGGCTTTAGACTGATAAAGAGTTGCTTAGAAAATGATAGTCATTCACTTTTTTATAACAAAGACTTAGTCAAGATGGGCATGCCACAGAGTGAGGATACAAGGAAGGAAACAAATAACTCTGCCTGGAAACCAGACAGGCTCCCCAGGGTTGGGAAATTACCAACGTTTGACTTTGACTAGATATACTCCCAGAAACAGTGTTGGGAGGCTTTAGTGGGGTGGTGAGACGGCTAGACAGCAAGACAAAGAGGAATCCCAGGAGCCAACTACATGGCAGGAGCTAGGTGCACAAGGACACAGACAGCTATCGATAATGGCTATCACAAAAACCTACCTTTGCCTCCCCATTCCCAAAGTATTGCTAAAATTTGTTTAACTGTGACCTTATCTCACTTGGGAAACAAAATGAGAGTTTATCATGTTCAGGGAAGAAGTATTAGAACTTGTTGGGATGTTCTAAATTCAGAACATACATACAGATGGGTAGGGGTATGATGAGATTTTTTGTGTGTGTGAAGACCTCACCTCTTCCAGGACCTAATATATTCAAAAATTTTTACTTTTTATTTTATATTTTATTTTATTTTTTGGTCCTAGGGATTGAACCCAGGGGAACTTTCCCACTGAGTTACCTCCCCAGCCCCTTTTATTTTTAAATTTTGAGATAGGGTCTCTCCTTGTTGCTGATGCAGGGCTCAAATATGTACCCTCCTATCTCATCCTCTGGAATTACTAAAATTACAGGCATGTACCGCTGCATCCAGCACATTTAAATTTTTTTAAAGTTATTTTAGCCAGCTGCAGTGACCTAGACTGTAATCTCAGTGACTCCAGAGGCTATGATAAGAGGATTACAAATTCAAGGTCAGCCTCAAGAAATTTGGTGAAACCCTCAAGTAACTTAGCAAGACCCAACCTAAAAAAAAAAAAAAAAAAAAATGTAAAAGGGATAAATTTTAAAATAAATATATAAAAAAGACTGGGGACATAGCTCAGGGATGAAGTGTCCCTATGTTCAATCCCCAGTACCAAAAAATAATAATAATAATAATAATTAAATATGTGTCTCCCTCACCCCAGGTATTTTGCAATGCTCATCCCTAGGCCCCATCTTCAAATGGAAAGAAAAAGAAACTTTGTACAGCCAAAGAAGTACATATCAGTGACCTTGATTCTTTTCAATGTATCCAGAATGTTTTTCAAGGCTACAACATTGTTCTGGTTACACTGTGTTTAGTATATTGCCAGTAACAAGTGTAACTTGAACTCGTGGGTACAAATGTGCTATTTCTTTTAGCCTAAGGCTGTGCTATTCAATAAAGCAACTATCACAAGCCAGGTATCCCTTATCTGTTTATAATCATTCTCATATTAACACATTTTGAAAAACTTTTGAGAATTTCCTACAGGCTATTCACAAAATAATAATACTTATTAGCTACTAAACAAGTTCTGGTTTTGGCAGCAAATCCCTTATTGTTTGACTATTTTCTTTTTTTTCTGTTATTTTATTGGTGTATTATAATTGTACTTATTGATGGGATTTGTTACATATTCGTACATGCATACAATATAATATGGCCAATATAACTCCCCAGCCTTTCCCCCAAGTTTGTTCATTATGCCTAATTAAATTTATGGAATTTTACATAAGTCTTACAGATAATCCTTAGTTATTCTCAAAAGGATGAATAAACGTGATATACACATCCACATATACCATAGAAATACCATACTGTTTCCATAGTATACACTTGATAAATAACAGAAGTTTTGCAACATATTGTACTCCATTGATGGTCAATTAAGTGAAGAGAATCATGTAATAGTCTCAACTTATTTTCAAAATTAATTTTGAAAATAGTGTAATATTTTACACTACTTTAACCTTGACTACTTTTAGTTAGAAATCTTTGAAGACTACGTTCATGATTTTTGCTCCCTCCCTCTCCTGTGTCTCTCTCCTTCCCATCCCCACCACCCCAGCACCCAGCCCCAAGTCTTCACTATGCTCCCTAAAACACAGGACAATATTTAAGTTGAAATGATGAAGTCAAAAGGTCTCTGATGGGGAAAAAAATCTGATTTGGCAGCTTTACATGAAAATAGGTCCTGTTAATTAGGTTACATGATAAATATTTGCAACTTGAATGAACAAAATTGATGCTGCAAAAGTTTTGACAAAACATAACTTAAACATCTAATAATGAAAAACGTTTATCCAACACTATTCTTAAAAATGAACAATGTTTACATATTCACCAAACTTTAATTATACCCAGTTAAACAAGGCATATTTCATTGAAAACGTTTAATTTATAGTTATTTGGTATTGGATAAAGCTTCCAGAAACTGAAAGAGTTTCTAGAGTAAGGACTAGCTAGGTAAACAAATCCTTTGGTAAGCCAGTTGATTCTCATTTGGTTGCTGTCAATAAAATTGAGGGAGGACCTAATTGAATATTCACCTTATAAATAACCAAAATAATATTTTGAGGTTAAGATTGTAATAAATGACCTTGGTACAACAAAATTCATCCATTTCCTAGTTCAGAACTTGCGTATGTGAACAAGGTTTCTCAGGCCATACAACTATAACAATTAAAAAAAGGGAAAGAATTGATGCTCAACCCTTTTTCCCCCTCTAAGAAGAAGAAATACGCATCCATAGATGCGTGAATTTTAAAAGAAACAATATCCATCTTATGGATGCACATTTTCTAATAAAATTTACATTCTATTCAATAGTTATGAAAATTTGTAATTTTTATGTTGCTTTGATACGGCACTAATAATAATTTTAAAGATAACTCAGCCCAAAATCAAGTGATCTGCTGACTGTGAAACCTTGTGCAATTCAACCTCTTTGGGCCTGAGTTTCCTGGTTTGTGAATTGGGGATAGTAATGTGACCTAGCCCTTAGCATTTTTCTGAAGATTGGATATGAGTTAACCTACTGCGCAGGCTAAGTGAGCTTTACCTGTTATTTTGGTAATCAAGAGCAAAACCCTTCACCCTAAGAGCTGGGGGTGTCTTCCCCGACGGGAAAGGGTTGGAGGGCAGGGGTCCTGTCGCAGGCACACATCTCGGGTGGGAGGGACTGGGGGGGGCTCAGCTGAGACCTCCGGGGCAGAGCGCGGGGCAGGACCGCAGGCTGAGACTGAGAGCGCAGCCTCGCGGAGTTTGAAATGAGCGGCCTGACAGACGCACGTTTGCTCCAAAAATGTCCACGATCCCGGTGGCTTCAAGCAACCGGAGCAAGAGCGCCCGTTGCAACGCCTGGTGGGCGGAACCGGCCAGCGCCCCACCCTGCGGTCCGGCCCTCTGCCACCAGGTGCCCACTCGGCCCCTGGGGTCCCTAGGAGGGCGGCAGGTCGAGCTCGAGATCTTCCTGGAGTCCACACTCGGGTCTCTGCATCAGACCTGCGACCCGCCGCCGCCGCTGGGCCTTTGGGTCATCGCCGCCACTGCTTCCGCCGCAGCCCAGCCCCCAGAGGGCGCTCGCTCCCGGACGCGGCCGGAACTGGCTCCTCGCGGCCCCCGTAGCAAGGCTGCACTACTCTTATCACCGCCTTTTCCTTCCTTCCCTCGGTTCCCTTTCACTTCCGGGGTTGCTCTGGATCCGCTGGTTCTGTAACAACATCCCGTTGGCTTCCCTCCGGCGGCGGGACCTGTGTAGCCGTCGCCTTCCAGGAGCGCTCGCCCGGGTCCGCACGCTCCCCGGCCCAGGCCGCCATGGCCACTAACCCGCAGCCGCAGCCGCCACCTCCGGCGCCGCCGCCTCCCCCGCCACAGCCGCAGCCACCGCCGCCGCCGCCGGGCCCGGGGACTGGCCCGGGAGCGGGAGGGGCGGGCTGCGCGGGGGCCGGCGCCGGGGACCCGCAGCTCGTGGCAATGATCGTGAACCACCTCAAGAGCCAGGGGCTCTTCGACCAGTTCCGCAGGGACTGCCTCGCCGACGTGGACACCAAGGTTCGGGGCGCGCGGGGGCTGGGGTCGGCGGGGCCGGGGCCCTGGAGGCGCCTTCCGGGGCGCTGTCCCGCAGTCCCCCCGGGGCCGGGGAGTCCCGGCTTGGCCAGCCCGGCTCCCCCGAGTGCGCCTCTCACCGAGTCCTTTTGCAGCGCTCCCTGTTAGAGCTGCAGCTGTGGCTCGCTCCGCCAGGCGCGGTGTGTTCATTCATTCACCTGTCCTTGTTCCCTTGACCGACCGTGTTTATGAAGTGCCTGCTCCTTGGCGGGCACGACCTGGGCTGTGCAGTCAAGCCCGTGTGCTGAGCCAGACTGAGTCGTCGTTCTTAGGGGGAGCGGTTTGGGAGCACTAACGCCGGGAGTGCCGTTTTGTGTTCGTTCTTGTCTCTTGACAATTTTGTTCCTTGGTTTACTTTGTATCCAAGTTAATTCGTCTTCTCTCTTGAAGGTTCCTGGGCAGTCAGGGCCTTGTCTTTGTCTTTTGGAGAAATCACTCTGATAATTGAGAAAATTACTTGCAGTGTGTTTGGCTGAACACTGGGGGCGGGGCCAAGGAGGCAAACCCAGGCAGCGAAAAGTTGGGTGAGGAGATGGGATTTTAGTTTGGTGTCTAGCAACGACTGCCTGGCTAAAGTGGAGTAGGCCAAGTCATTTCTCTAAGGTGAGGGGCAGGTATAGAGAACGGCGGCATTCATTGGGGAAAGGATGGAGAAGAGGTGACAGCAAATACTGGAGAGGAAAAGCAGAAGAGAGTGAGTTCAGGAGAATAAGGGGAAAGGCGGAAAGATCAGCAAAAATGTTCTCTGTCCAAAAAGATGGGGTAGGGAAGGGAAGGGACTTTGTTCCAAATGTCAGAGTAAAGGGGGAATTTAGCAGGAACGGGTGAACTTACAGGGTTTGGCAGAGAATGAACAGAAGACAACAGGCAGGAGCAATTACTGAGACGTATGGAAAAACAGAACCTAGAACTAGAGGCAGGTGAAGCTGGAAGCATATTGGAAAACTGTTGTTGTTGTTATATTTTTGGCTTCAATTCTGGTGTGTTTTGGTGTTTTGGTGATGCTGGAGTGTGTTCATAGAATATTTGGCTGGTCTGAGAAAACTTGTTTCTTTGGGGGAAAAAAAAAAAAAAGGTGTTTGCAGTATTTGCAGATTCTTCCCAGCCACCACTTCTAGGAAAAGCTCTCTGGAAAATCTGGCTATATCTTTCCCTGTAAGAACCACTATGTAGAACTAAAGAGAATATGACTTATTCAGGAGAGTTACACTGGCATCTTTTTTGTTTCTTTGTGGTTTGTTTTGTTTTGTTTTTGTGGTGCTGGGGGTTAACTCCAGGAACTTGGACATTCTGGGTAATTGCTGTACTGCTGAGCTATATCCCCAAACCTTTTTATTTTTTTATTTGAGACGGGATCTTGCCAACCTACACTTTTTTAAAAAACTGATACCAGTTGCTTTTTTATTATTACTTAATGGAAAAATATTAGACATATCCAGATAAATGATACCCACATAAAGTTTATTATTATTCAGTAAGTAGAGATTTTACTTTGCTATTCTCAGAAACCCACAAATCTTGTGTATGCAACTGGAAATTTTTAATACATGGATTGGAGAGAGCTGCAATATCTAAGATTCAATTTTTATTTATCCCATTCCCATTAAATGTTATTATTGTGTCTATAATATTCCTTCCAGACCCTTGAAAGTGGATTATTAAAACCTTTCTTGGAGGTGGGGGGAGGCACAGTTGCTTTGACAATATAATGAATGCTAGGGCCTTCTCCCAAGAAAAATACATATATACACATTAAGATACTGCTTTAATAGTTCAAAGTGGTCAGGTATAGTCACTTCATGTGGTTCAACCAAATCTGTGAGTATTCAGGGAATCACAAAATAAGGGTAGAACTTGCAAAAAGCAGGAATTCTCTGGGTATGGTTGTAGTTCTTCCCTTGCTCCTCATATGCTGTCACAAACTCTCCTGCAGATACTCTCTCCTTCTATTCTTTCTTTCCCTTAGCAATTTTGTTGATTTTATTTTTATTTATGATATTGAGTAGCATTTTGCATTCCTTTTCTTATTTGGAAAAAAAGTAAGTTTAAAGATATCAAAAATACTACAAAAAAGTTTTCTTCATTGTAGCTTAATATTCATAAAAATGTGATAACTAAGCCAAAGTATAAATAAGATTGCCTATCCAAGCAAAGGAGCTTCCTTGATTGTCATCTACCATTTACAATATGGTGCTTTTGATGGCAGACCCTGAGAGACTGACCTTTTGTCAAAAAATCTTACCACTAGCATATAGGATTGCAGCAATATATGTTAGTCATGTACATACATAAGAATCAAGACAATTGCCTGGGGCTCTCCAAAAGAAAATTGCCCAACCCCAAAAAGCTATCCTGGGGTCATCATCGAAGGTCCCTAAACAAGGAGATCTGACTATGGCAGATCAAATCAACTCTTCCAAGCAAGGAATTAAAGCCTTGATTTACCCAAAGATCCAACTACTACTAGGGTTTCTTCATTATAGACTCCAGTTTCCAGATCTCTGGAGCAAGCCTCATGATTGTGAGCCCGTTATGACTCCTTTATATTGATTAGCAACTGAAGAGGGTGAGGAGAAACAATCTAGAGGCCCATCACTGTGACCTAGGCAGCGAGCTCTCCAACAGTTAAGTGTGTCTCCTCTCTCCCCAAGTTATAAATGCAGATTTGGGGGATTTTTCTTAGTTTTACATGGCTCCTGATCAATTTATTAACCCAAGAAACATGCACTGAGCAACACCTACATACCAGGCATAATTTTCAGTGCCAGGATACAGCAGTAAACCAAAAGTCCCCCTGTTATGGAGTTTACATCCTAGCAGAGAAAAATGGACAATAAATAATGCATGAAGGCTTCTATGGGAAAAAAATAAATAAAGCAAGACTAGGGGAGAAAAGACTTACCATTTTACTTTGATCAAGTCATTCAGGGAAGGTTTCAATTAGTTGAACTGAAGGAACTGATGCATTCCAAGTAAAGACATGGCAAGTGTAGAAGATCAGAGGTCTTGGAACCTGGTGAGAGAAAAGGTGCACCTCCCTCCACAGATTGCAAGCTTTAGACACCAACCTAATTGGTTTGCCTTTTTCTTGAACTGAGAAGCCATTAGCAGATTTTGAGCAAAAGGACATAATCAACTTGTATTTTAGGAAGGTTGACCATGGGTAATTATTAATAACATTCCCTTTTATGCTCATTCATTTTCTACTTTAGACAATGAATTGTATGGTTATTAGAAGATCTACTGGGCTGGGGATGTGGCTCAAGCGGTAGCGCGCTCGCCTGGCATGCGTGCGGCCTGGGTTCGATCCTCAGCACCACATACAAACAAAGATGTTGTGTCTGCCGATAACTAAAAAATAAATATTAAAATAATTTCTCTCTCTCTCTTTAAAAAAAAAAAAAGAAGATCTACTGTACTCTGTTGGAAAATAGACATTAGGTATGCAAGGATAGGCAGATCAGTTACTGGAATTTATAACAGGAGATGAGAATTCCTTAGGCCAGAGTGATAACAGAAAGATGGTAGGAAGTAGTCAGTATCTGAGTGTATGCTGATGCTAGTTCTGTTGGCATTTGCTCATGGAAGGAGGACTTGGAAATAAGAGGGGAAAAAATGAGCTTATTTTGGAGATACTATAATGCTAAATACATTGGAATATCTGAGACTGATGTTTGCTGGATTTGGAAATACTGGGGAAAAGTATTATGCTTTAGAATCATTGGGCCCAAGAAATATTAGTTTTAGTTCACATTCATAGAATAAGTGGAGAGGAGCATGAGAAATGATTATGAGACATTCCTGTAGAGTAGAAAACAGGCATCAACCAAAGTCTGAGTGTTGGAAGTGATGAAAGGACATCTCATAGGTATGGAATCTTTGTCATTCTGTGGTGGAGATAGTTAACCAGTATCTAAGAACTCTTTTAATTGTTTATCTGCTAAGCAATATGAAAACAAAGATTAAGAAAAGGAGAGAGTAAGCTTACACCCATGTGGAGAGGTAAATAGCTCCCCTTCCCCAAAATACTGTGCAATGGAAGGATTGTTCAAATGTTGTATGTATAGAAGACAGTAGGAACATGGAAGAAGGGCAACGTAAGTCTACCCTGGGCGTCATGATGACTTCCCAGTTTAGGCTGAGCTCTGAAGGTGAGAAGTTTCCCACACAGACAAATAGGGGGAATGGTAGGTGCATGAGATTTATTGCTGGAGTTTAAACTTTGAAAAGCAAAGGTAGCAAATGGCAGAAGGGGAGGCTGTACTGTTTTTTCCTAATATCATTCAAGGATAATCAAACTCATCTCTGTTAAGAGCCATAGGAAGGAAAACTAAAGACCTTCAGTGGCAGGGGCAACTTCTAGGGACTGGGGGCAGTACTGAGTGAGTGGTTGCACATTCCTTCTAGAAGATGGCCTAGTATGTGTCCT